CAGATGCCTGGGAAAGAGATCATGCACACCAGAATCGATGGCACACCAATTGGATAATGCAGTACACCCATTATTAAAACTAAAAAAAACACCCCTGGTGAGAAAAGAAAGCATGCAAGAGAAAGTGCCGATTCCCGTTTATAGCTCATTATTGAGTTCTTACACTAACAATTGATTGTCTATTTCTTCTTACTGGCTAACCTGAAGATTAATAGACACTCTTGGGATGCAGCCACCCAACATTCTCTTAGACTTATTCCTCAATGTCTATTCTCTTTCACTCTCCTAGTGTTCTAGTATAGAATTTAAACTTTTGCGCCCGCTATGGTCTTAGCAAACTCTTGTGCTTACATAACTCAAACTTTTTTATTTTTTAATATTTTTTTTTTTGTATTTTGTATTTGTATTAGTATTATGTATTTCGATATTTTCTTGGGCCGTAGAGAATGAATGATTGTAGGATTTTTTTATAAATTTGGCGTTTTGTTAGAGGAGGAATTAAGCGTTAACGCGATGAATGCAAGTTAGATGAATGTAAGGGTGTGGACTGATCGGGTTATATGAAAATTTGATTGACTCTTAGTTATTTACATGTTATGCTTCCATTTCATTCAGGAAACCAGCCAATGACTCATGATATATGAAATTCTGGTACGTACCCTTAGAGCAAGTTACCTTGAAACAAGGGAGACATAACATGCGGTACGTGCGAAACTTAGTGGATATCATCTCTGTGAGTGAATCGCGACGTGCGAGGAGTGCGTTCGATACTTTGTCGTCTTTCTACGCAAGGAGCCGGAAAAAAGAGGCTTGGAACGCAGATACGGAAAAGATCCAGAGCTTGACAAGTGGCCTTAAAAAAATAAAAAAGGACATATATACCACTACAACGGTACGTGAACTCCGATGGAATATATTTCCCCAAAAAAGGCAGAAAACTAATAGGATATCACCGAGCGGAAAGGACAAAACAAACAGAAGTGACTCCCCGCCTAAAGTCTATATTAACTCGCTAAAGTAAGGAAGTAATAGATCTTATAGCACTCATCAAGAGGGTCAAGAGGGTTCTAAGGAAAGGGAGGATAGAGACCCACTTTCTTCACTTCGTTCAAGGAGACATAAAAGGAAAACTTGAATGAGTGGAGCTAAACCAACGAGTTGAGCTAGAAAGAACTGCCTTAGAAACTAAATACATATGGTAGCAGACTCAGGCTTGAGACCGAGGGGTACTTAAATCAATGGGTGTTGGCGGCTAGCTACCTTGTTGGATTAGTTACATGCTATAACCCTAGTAGCTGGCTCTAGCCCTTCGAACTGCAACTGCTTCAGCACGAGCTAACAACTCCTTACTGCCCGGGCGTCGCTTTAGCTACCAACTACTTACCGGCTTGCCCGAGCTCATAGCGCCTAGGATACCTTCAATGACTCGCCTAAGAAACCTCAAATTCCCTATAGAGGGGGAGGGGAAGGAAAAGGGTTGGGTGTATTTAGTAGACAACTAGCTTCGTTGCTTTAGCAACTACTGACTCCTTAATGACCGGACTGTTGGATTAGGTACTTGACCTAGCTACTAAACCTTAGAACTAAAGCTGATACTAATTACTATATAACTGAGCTCCTTACTAGCTATATAGGAGCTGGCTATAAACCAGAGAACTTCTAGCCAAAGCTAGAAACAAATTTCTTACTTGCCTTGCTCAAGCTCTAGTTCTTACCGTAGCTACCTTGACTGTGACTCTACCCGGAACCCGGTCTTACCTAGGGATGGGGAAGGAAGGTAGAAAAGAGTAGATTAAGGCAGGGATAGGTGCTTAGGAGTAGTTGGATTACGCATTTGAGAAAGACCTTTACGTTGTCCTATAGCTGCAATCCCAAGGGAGGAAACCCTGTCTTTTTGTCCTCAAAAGTCAGTCCCAAGTATGCTTCGTGACTGGATCCAGAAGAAGTTGCCTTCACTGACTCTTCTAAAAACCAAACCCTTGGCTTGCTTCCCATTATTTGTTTGCTTTCTAGATCTACCATTACAAACTGTAAAATTAATTTAAAGCTAACTAAAATTATATAAAATAGTAAAAAATGAATTACCAAAAAAATATCACCGACCCTTCTCAAATCACAAAAATTATTTCTAAAGTGCTAGAAAACATTAATTAGTAAATGACGAAAATAGCCTCCTATGTAGATATGTTATTTATCACTGCATTAGCTTCACTATTTTACTTCACTTTTTATGTGTATTTTATGCAATAAGTGACGTGTATATGTGAGATTTATCTATCATTTTTAGGGGTGTTTACTGACATATTTATCTTTGGTTTTGAGCTGAATTAAAAATTGAACCAATCTTTAGTTAAAATAGTCAATAAAGACAAAGTCTTCGTTTGAGAAAAGCTAATTTAGGCTAACTTTTTGTCTAATTTAGCCTGGCTTAGCTCCATTTGGAAAAAAAACTTTTCGTTTTTTTATTTATTTTAAAGTTTGGATGTGATGGTTGTGAAAGAAGAAATAAAATAATTATAATTTAATGTGACATTTTGTCTTATTAACTAAATTAGTCTGTTTTGTCTTTTTGTATTTACTTAGTCATTTTAGTCCTTCCAAACAAGGCCAAATAGACTAAAATTGGTAATAAAACAAAATATCGCATCTAAACTATAGTCATTTTATTTTTTGTTTTACAATCATCAAATCATCTAAAAAAAAGTCAACTATCATCTCAAACATAATTTTTTTAATCAAGCTAAAATAATTAAAATGTCAACTAAAATAACCAAGTTCTCAAATGAGGAATCAAACCAGGTGAGAATCAGGAAATTTGGCAAGCAAAGCTTCTGGCTTTTTGCTTTGAAAAGCAGGGCTCAAAAGAAAAAATGAACTCCTGAAGCTAAAACCTCATGTACTTTATTTTTTTTTTTTCCAATTATCAACGTTGTGCCCTTTTGTTTTCAGAAATTGAGAGAAAAGAGACCAAAAGGAAAGGAGGGAAAAAATAGAATACAAAAATGAGTATTGGTGTGGGCGACATCTTTAAAATATTATGTTCGGACGGTGTCATAAAAACCTGCAAAGCTGGCTGGTCTCACGTTGGCTATGTGATTCACTATAAGAAGAACATTCAAAAACTTGAAGATGAAATTGTGAGACTTGATGATGAGTGGAGAAGGATCGATGGAAGTGCCCAGAGAGCCAGAGACAATGCAGAAGTCGTTGAGAATGATGTTTGGATGTGGCTAATGTCCGTGTATGGGATGAAAGCAGAAGTCGAGGTGTTTCTATTAGACATGGTAAGGGAAAACAAGTCGTGCTTCAAATGCTCGTGTCCAAATATTCATTGGCGTTACTGGCTAGGCAAGGAGTCCAAAGAGAAGATTGCTGGTGTTATTACCCTAAAAGAGGAGGGCGCCAAGTTTATGACATGCCCACTGTCGCACCGCGCACCTCTCCCAGACGTTGGATTCACATTCTCTGCAAATTATGAAGCATTTGATTCAAGGAAACACATCTTCGAGGAGATCATAAGATCGTTGAAAGATCCTAGCATTAAAATGATTGGCATTTACGGACCAAGCGGTGTTGGCAAGACGACAATGGTGGAAGAGGTTCGCCAACTAGCAAAGAGAAATGGGCTGTTTCATTCCGTCGCAATGACAACTGTGTCCAAAGCTGTGGAAAAGGAAAAAGTTCAAGGTGAACTGGCAAGTCAATTGGGACTAAAGCTAGATGAGTATGGAAGAGCAGGTCAACTATTGAATAGACTGAGGAATGGGCAAAAAACCCTTGTAATATTGGACGACGTTTGGGAGCCACTTGACTTGGCAGATATTGGAATTCCTACTACAGATGGTGGTAACAACGAGCAACTTAACTTGCCAGATATTGGAATTCCTTTTACAACTGGTAGTGATATGGGCTGCAAAGTTGTGATAACTACACGGAAACAACGTGTGTGCCAAATGATGCAAAAGTCTAGTGAACTAAAAAATTTCCCAATTCATGTGTTAACAAAGACAGAAGCATGGAGCCTATTTACGAAGGTGGCTGAAATTTCTGTGGACTCTGAAATCCCTTCTGAAGCAAAGGAAGTGTGTGACAAATGTGGAGGCTTGCCCGTTGCTATACGTGCCGTTGCAGCAGCATTGAAAGGCAAGGCAGAGCATGCGTGGAAAGATGCACTGCGACAACTTAAAAATTACAAGATAAAAGAAATTGCGGATATCGATCCAAATTTGTTCATCTCATTAAAATGGAGCTATGATCGTCTAGAGCCCAAGGATGCACGGTCATGCTTCTTGCTTTGCTCTTTGTTTAAAGAAGATGCTGAGATTTCAATTGACGAATTAGTGAGATATAGCATTGGCATGAGGTTACTTGATCAAAACCTGAATATATTTGATGAAGTAAGAGATAGAGTACTTGCGATGGTTGATGTCCTCAAAATATCTTGTTTGTTGTTAGATGGCAGAAATGAAAGTGTGGTCAAAATGCATGATATTATTCGAGATGTTGCTATATCGATCACGGAAGATAAGCATGTTGTTCCAACCCACATGCATGAAAAACGTGGGAAGGCAACCAACCAAGTCAAGCTTGGCAGCCACCAACCATAGCAAGGGTCAAGAATGGAGGCTACCCAAGTCAAGAATGAAGTCTCTCCCACCTACTCCTTTTGTGTATAAATAGAGACGGGAGGGAGAGGATGTGAGAGATATCAAAAATTGGAGAGTGAGAGCTGTGAGTTGAGTGAGTTTCATCTCCTCCTCTGTAATTGTATTTTTGCTCCATTTTAGTGATAATTCTCATTGGGCCGAACCACGTAAATATTGTGTTCTCTGTGTGTGTGAGATAATTCTCTGGGTGTCTTTGATCCTAACAAAGTGGTATCAGAGCAAAGTTGAACGTTTTTCGGAAAAACAGAGTATTGTTTCAAAACTGCCCAGAAATCGTATTGCTCGAAATCAGATTTTGAGCATACCAGGAGCAAGGACTCGACGAGAGGAGTCCAGAAATATAAAACAGACACCAAACGGAGGCCGCACGCGCCCCTGGAAGTTGGCGCGTGAATCCCACTCTCATCACGCGCCCACACGCGCCGTTCAGGAACCCGGCGCGTGATCCCACTCGCAGACACGCGCTCCACGCGCGGTTCAAGGAGGAAGACGACTGAGGGAACAGCGCGTGCCTTACACGCTCCATCAGCACGCGCGCGCACCAAGGCGAACCGGATCCGAGTTGACCAAGCCGCTGACTGAGCCGCTGACGTCAGTAGAACCGGAGGAATAATTTGGTGCTTCGCAGGCGCACCAGATTCTGCTGATCTGAACCATTCAATCTGTTTTGGCTTGATCTAAGCCATTTGAGATCCGATTTGGGTGATCCAATAGTGGTTTCCGACTATTTGGAGTATTCCGGACACATCCGTACGGTCAGATTTTGCAAATAAGTTTTGAAAAATTTGAAGTTTTTATTTTGGCAATCCGAAGTGCTTTTCCGGCTAATTTGACCAGTCCCGACTCCACAGCAAAACTTGTTTTTTCAGCCAACGATCATTATTGTATGATGGAGGAATCAACGTCGACTTCAGGTTCTATGATAAAGTTAAATGCTTCCAATTATGCCATTTGGAAGCCTAGAATGGAAGATGTCTTGTATTGCCGAGATTTGTTTGACCCCATTGAGCTTAATGGCGTTAAACCACCAACGGAAAAAGACGAAGACTGGAAGCGGAAGAACCGAAAGACCATTGGCCAGATCAGACAATGGATTGATCACAGTGTCTTCCACCATGTCGCCCAGGAGACTGATGCCTATGCTCTCTGGATAAAGTTAGAAGGCATGTACCAGTCGAAGACTGCTAGTACTCTTAGGCATGCATTGAGCATTGTAATTGAGTTAAAAAGATAAGAATGAAGCCTAAAGAGGAAAATGTGAATTTAGAACGGATTGTATTGTTTGTGACCCTTTTGTGTTCTTGGAATGTGTAGGGTCGAGCTCCAGGGCAAACCAACCAATCGGTCACTGTGAGTAATATCGATATTTTGAAACTTGTCATTTGTCCAATTGCTCATTTCTTTATAAGCCTTATAAGTGCTAGTTTGAATTATGGACAAATGTTTGTTATGAATAACTGAATGGGCCAAATGCCATTTCGACATGAATGAATGGGCCAAAGGCCATTTTGACATGAATGAATGGGCCAGAGGCTAGTTTGACATGAAAGTTTGAATGGGCCAGAGGCCAGTCTGACAAATGAAAGATAAATGGGCCAAAGGCCAGTATGTTTGGAACTAGAGCCACTTGACCTAAATTATGTATATGTATGTTAAATAGAAATATGAATTGGGCCCAAGGCCATCTGAAGCATGTTCTACATATCGTTTATATAACTTCTGTGTTTGATATTATTCACTGGGCTATCACTCACGCTCATTCATGTGTTCGTAGGTGAACCAAGAGAAGTCCAGACCCAGCCCCAGTGATGTCTGTATGGAACAACAAAGGTTTTGGAGAGTCAGCCCTCGCGTCTCATGCACGAGACCCGTCTTCGCCTTTTTGTCATTCTGTTTATTTTGTCATGTGGGCGAAGTCTTAGAATTGGTGTATATAGCTTTGATGGGTTGACTTAGACTATTATGATCCTGTATGTACAGAACCATGTGTGGTACATATTTTGTTGTGAGTTATTAATGTGCATATGTATGGTTGTTACGATGTGCCATGTAAGCACAGCTCTATGGACAAAGTTTTAAATTGCTTCCGTTTGGCCCCCATTAACTCTGTTAAAATACGTTTGGCTTGGTTTGAGGCCGTAGGTAATCTCATGATTACTGGCCGGTTATGTCCTTAACCCACGGGGGCGGGTTCGGGTCATGACAGAGTGGTATCAAAGCACGAGTTAATAACTCGCACACTTGTCCAAAAGAGCAATAAGCATCTAGAAAAGATCTAGGATGCATTCATGTGATAAGTATGAATTTGGAAGAACCGAGTATATGTTTAAATGTTTTAATATGAACAATTATGTGATATAAGTTGTGATTTGCTTGCATTGTAAATTATCTGAATATGTATGCTCTTTAGTATATGCATACTTGTGAATCTTTTGTGTGAAATATAATGCAAGTTTAATCAGATGATGAGAACAAGAGGTGATGAGATAGAGGAATCCTCTACTGCCAGAATAGACAGAATGGAAAGACTGATACAGGAAATGGCAGAAACTTTGAGACAGCAACAGGAGTGGTAACAATAGTGGCAGCAACCACATCCGCCACCTCCACCTCCGACACCACCCGTGCCAGATAATCAGAATGAAGATCGGATAATAGCTCTCACCAAAGAATTCAAGAAAATGAAACCACCGTAGTTCCATGGTGGATTAGATCCGTTGAAAGCCGAAGCTTGGATTCTCGATATCGAGAAATTATTTGAAGTGTTCTCTTGCTCGAAGACCCTGAAGGTGCTTTTAGCCACTTTTATGATAGAAGACGAGGCAAGAAGATGGTGGATGTTAATGCGAGAAAATCACAGGGATGTTGATTGGGCGAAATTTTTGGAAATTTTCTATGACAAGTACTTCCCACAATGTGTTCGGGATAGGAAAGTGTCAGAGTTCGTGGAACTAAGGCAAGATAGTATGACTGTAGCCGAGTATGAGGCCAAATTCACTAAATTGGCCAGGTTTGCACCTCATGTGATTAATACCGATTACAAGAAGGCATGGCATTTTGAAGGTGGGCTTCGAAGTGACATGTTAGAGAGGGTAAATGTCTTGAAGCTGGAAACCTACATTGGGGTGCTAGAGAGGGCTATCATATCAGAAGCTAACATAGCTAGACAGACTAAGTCCACAACTGAATGGAAAGACAAAAAAAGGCAAAGCTTCTTCTCAAAGAAGAAATTTTCAAAAAAGCAACACACGGGCTCCTCAAATATTTCAAATTCTTCCCGAGACATAGCTCCCATGTGCAATATTTGTAGCAAAAGGCACCGTAGGGTTTGTTATCGTGTGTCAGGGGCCTGTTTCAAATGTGGGAAACAAGGGCATATGGCTCGAGATTGTAATCAGAATGGTGGAAAGATAACTGCTAGTTCCACTGCATCGATCCCAAAGCCGGGAAATACTTTGAGATCTGTTACCACCGGGGATACCGTGTGACAGGGGAGAGTTTTTGCACTTGTTCCGGGCGATACACAGAATGCCAACGCAGTTGTCTCAGGTACAATTTCTATATGTAATCAAGATGCTTTTGTGTTAATTGACTCTGGATCAACACACTCTTTTGTAACATGTGCATTTGCATCTAGACTGAGTAGACCTCTAGAATTATTGCCATATCTGTGCTATGTGTGTCTGCTCCATCTGGGGAATCTGTATTGTGTGAATCTATATACCAGTTTTGTGATATGCGTGTTGAGGATGCTATCCTATATGTAGATTTGTTGCCCTTGAACTTTAGGCATTTTGATGTAATTTTGGACATGGATTGGTTAACCAAATATTGTGCCACCATTGATTGTGTGACAAAACGGGTTGTGTTTAAACCACCAGAACAGAAAGAGGTTGTGTTTGTGGGTAATAGGGTAGTGCCTCCACCTTATTTGATATCTGCAATGAAAGCATGTAAACTGATCAGGAAAGGGTGCCAGGGTTATTTGTGCTATGTGTTGTCTGAACAATTTGTGAATGTTGAATTGAACGACAACCCTATTGTTAGAGAATTTCCAGATGTGTTTCCAAATGAATTACCAGGAGAATTGGCAAACAGGGAGATAGAGTTCACTATTGAGACTGTGCCAGGCACCCAACCCATTTCTAAAACTTCCTACAGTATGGCTATAGCCGAAATGAAAGAATTGAAAGAACCGTTGCAAGACCTGCTTGACAAGGGGTTTATTCGACCTAGCACTTCGCCTTGGGGTGCACCAGTATTGTTTGTGAAAAAGAATGATGGAACTTTGCGTTTGTGCATCGATTATCGGGAATTGAACAAGGTAACAATAAAGAACAAATATCCCCTTGCAGACGCGCGCTAGGGCCTTATGCTACAGTTCGAACTCAAATGTCACGGTTCTGAATCTAGTCTCGCAAAGTACAATGCAAGACCAACAAATCACCAAACAGTCCAAATCTGACAAATCATTTTGGAAAACTGATTTTTGTAAAGAAGTGCCAAACATGAACTGCTTTGCCAGATACAGAGTCGCCACCTAAATATTTTATTTTTTTGCAAAATTTAGGAAACCCTGATTCGTGCCTAAGGCCACATGTTCGTCATCACCAAAGTTACCTCAACTCAGGAACTTGGGTACAATTGGGGAAGGTCAGCTATGAGCACCCCTGCTCGCCCGATCAAAGATCGACCACTACTAAACATGATATTTTGTTTTCGAAAACACACGTGTTCTTCTTCCGGTTAATTAGCTAGGATTACTTTGTGATGCGCACAACACACAAGTATAGACTAGATCGCCTAATTTGGGACAAAGCATCGCATATCCGTTTATTTGGAAATGGTTTGAAGTTTGCTAATCGTAAGTAGGCTAAAATGCGAATTTCAATGAATTGTTTCAATTCAAGCAATCCAACCTTCACCCACAGGCATTTAAG